TGATATAAATATTTGTACATATTATATACATTTTTATCCGAAATATGCTAATGTAATACACTAATTAAAATGCACTTTTCTTTGATAAATCACATAAATATGATTAATAAATGTTGAACTGTTAACTTATCATCAATGATATGTAGCAGTAACAAATTGTCATATTTGCACATTGCGCATGGATGATATGCACAGTAAAAATCATTTGAAACTTACTAGTTTTTCTTTTTTTTAATGAATATGTAAATTATGTTTTATATAGATTATCGAGTTCAAGCGACAGCAGCGATACCGATTCTGAAACCGATTCAGAAAGTAGCACTTCGAGTACCACTACCACAAGCAATAGTAATAGTTTAGATTCAGACGATGTAAGTGAATCAGAAGAAATTGTAAATGAATGTATTTAACATAAAGTACCATGTAAAATATTATTATATGTCTATCTTAAAAGATTTGTTACAAAAATCTTTGTAAAAATAATGTTTTTGAATGTTTTTATTTTACTTATAATATATAAGTAAAATTTAAAAATTTTATAATTCTATATCTTTTGTGTCTTTATAAAAATATTTATATGTAAAATTCTTTATAAGATATAAATAAGACTTCATTTCGTCTCTACCTTATAATTATTATGTAGTTATCTGTATAGACATGTACAGTATACATATTATTTATGCAGTATTCGTGTAAATGTGATTGACTTATTAAAGAATATAATAAATCCATGTTAATAATTTATTATAATGTTCGATTAATCTTCGTTGTATAAAATCATCTAAATCATCGTTATTTTTAATACTTATATCTGGATCAATTATATTGTTTGGTCTTAATAAGGTGCTTTCATTATCAAAAGTATTATTAACATTATTTTCTGTATCCTCTGCCTAGAATATTTTTAAAAAAATTTATTACTTGTAAATTGAAAATTATCAATAAAAAGTAATTAAATTAAATTAAATTTTTAAGTTACCGTAACATAATCATAATCTGTAAATTCAATATTTTCATTTTTATTATTGAATTCATCATCATCAATAGTTTGCCAATAATCTGCGATTTCTCCATATACTCCTGGACTTTCATTTACGCTACTTACGTATTCAGCTAATTTTTTATCATCTAACATCATTGAATCTGATGTTTTCAATACTGTTGGCTTATCGTTTTTAAAATTAAAAAAAGTCTAATGTGTCATTAGAAAAAATTTATTACATATATCTTATTATCCATACTGTACCTTTTGATTAGAAGTTGAAGTCTTACTATTAAAATGATCATGATAATCAGGACTTTCTGTTTTCAAAACTAAATGTGTATATTTTTTGAATGTTCCATTTTCTTCATGCAAATGCGGAGCATACAATATGATACGTAAAGGTAAACTTTCGTCTTTTTGAATTTGTAATTCTTCATACTTAGTATTTTTGTTTACTATTTAGTGAAAAATAAACATTTGTTTAAAAAAATGAATATTTGTTAAAAAAATAAATTATACATATTTATATATTTTAATATGCAAAAAATATTTTTTAATCAATATATTAATATTTGATATTTAATAAAATACCTTTTTGTTTCTGTATTTTTGTATCTCTTAATATATTTTCCGATTCAATTTGATGTTCTTCAAGATGTCTTGATAAATTAGTATTTAAATCGTTCGTTGTAGGATACGAATGATTATTTCCATTTATATGTTTATTTGAAAAATTGCAATCTTGTGTTTCTTTATAGGCTTCTGTCGTTTCGAAGTTCGATATTATACGTGTAGTTGATATCTGAGTTTGTTTTTGTTCATATGATATTTCAGAAGTTATTTTAAAATTCTTATCTGTTAAAAAATTGTTTTTTCCTACATTGTCATTTTTTTTCATATTTTCTGGAATTTCTGTCGTTTGAATTATTGGCACTTTAGTTGTAATATCATAAGTTGTAATTTTATAATTATTTACATTGAAAGGAATGATAGTGCTCGTATATTTATCATTTTCAATTCTTTTTGATTGTTCGACAGACATAGTTACGTCAGTAAATACTTCTGGTCGTGTATCAAGATTTTTATTTATCTTTTTATTTTCTGAATTTATAGTTTTTAAAAGATAATCTCTATAATCTATCGATTCGCGTACTGTTGACGATTGTTCCTATTCATCAGCAAATAAGTATATAAGATTTTCTTAAATATATTTATATACTTCTTTTTATATACAATTAAATTAAAAATATGTATATACATTATAGAAGTAGATATGTTTAAATTTTGCTTACATAACAAGGACCACATGGATCATCTTTATATGTAGAAAGTATGGCTGCTTTAACATAAGGAAAATAGAGTATACTCCAAGGTACAATAATCTGATAAGTTATTTTTCCGCAACTATGATAATGATAATTCACATTTTAATAATATTATAAATATCATATAAATATGTGTAAAGTACATAATTATTTTATAAGAGAAAAAATAGATATTTCTTATTTTAATAATTATAAATATACACACACATATATATATATATATATATATATATATATATAATTGTGTTAAATGTAAACTTACTTGTAAATTAATTATATTTCATGATTCGAATTTAAATTACAAACAAAAAACAATTTAAATTAAACGATTAAATGCTCACCTATCAATAATTATTACTTCATCTTTCGAAGCACGAAAACTTTTCCAAATACCCAATTCGAAAGTATCTTGAAGAAAAATAATGCCTTTCTTTTCCTTTGCAACATCACTAAATATCATTTTATCCAAGCTCAAAAAGTGTTCGGATTCCTGTATATTTTTAGATATTTCCAACCACGCTTTTATCTCCATACTATTCTCTGTGTCATCTTCCGGCAAATCTGACGGCCGCGCAACCATAAAGAGCAAAATATTTGAAAATCCAGACTTTTCTAACTGCTTCTTTAATAATTCCAACCTTGTATCAAATGATTTTTTTATATGATAGATATCATATCAAAAAATATTATTTTCTATTCTAATATCAAATTATTTTTTATTTGTTTTATTTTAATTTTTAATTACTTCTCTCTCCCTCTCCCTCTCCCTTTTTCTTTTTCTTATAAATATTTAAAGTATTTGAGTTAACAGAAACATAAAAAATAAAAAAATAAAAATAATAAAAGTTATTAGATTAAAATTTGATGTAATGTTAAATAATTATTTATTAAGTATTTATTAAGTATTAATAAATAGCATTAAATTATGTTCCATTAGAATGTATTATTTAATTGTTACTAAATGTACCAATGAAAAATATTGATCATTATTTTAACGACTTACATGACGGCTTGTCTATAACTGTAATTCCACGAGGGATCCAAAAACGCGAACACATTAACATGCCCCAATTGATCTTTTCGTAAATTCGTGGCACGGCATTGCTCGATATATCCTCGATTCTCTTGGGATTCTTTCGATTGTCGGAAATGACGAAAAACATCGAGCAATCGCGGCATCCTTTCGTAATCCTTCCCATAAGTTTCGCAATTTCCAATTATTATCATCATCGCTATTATCATTGTTGTTGTTATCGTGATTACAATCGAAATCGACATAATTCGTTCACTTTCTCCGATAGAATCGTTAATGGATCAAAAATCAATTGGAGAAATGATCGTTCTATCGGCTAAATATAAAATGTTTGCATGAGCAACAAAATATCGATAATTATTTCGTAACACTTTGAAATCCGTGTAAACAACATAAAATTGTTAACCGGTCGTGAAACTTGGCACGTCACGCCGATCTTTGAAAGATGTTTGTTATCTGAGTGTGGGGGCCGATAAATCGTGGAAAATCGTGACAATTAAGTTGTGAAAATACCGAGAATTCTAAATCATTGTGCGATCATTGACGGTCGATGTGTGCGCGTGGCTTCTCGCGATATTATTAGCCAGAAAAATTAATTTACGTAGCATTGATGCGATATGTATGCGGGTCACACGGAAACTGTAAGCCTTTTTCTGACCTCACATGCTGCTGCCGCGTACCACTGTTCAACATTTCTCCTACACGTGACATAAACATGACACCCTTCCTCAAACATTATCATAGAGGCACATGGAGACTGATTTATATAAAAAACAAGCTGAAAATTTTATTTAATATTTAAATATACAATGACCATAAAAACATTTGTCCACCTCTGTATTTATTATAATACTTAATAATTAGTAATATTTAGTAATATTTATTTATTAATATATTATATAATATATTGTATTCGCAGTACTTTTTTATATTTATAAAAATTTAGTATATTATGAAAATGAATTATTAATTAAAAAAACGCTTTATATTTTTAACATGTCCTATCTTTCGTAAGAAATTATTAATATTTTCCGATCTTTTAAATTATCCTTTTTATTTTTTTGGCCTATCAATTATTTGTTAAAAGGAAAATTATTAAAATGACCAATGTTAAGAAATGTAAAGTGCTTAAAATACATTATGATTTATAATTATTCACAGAGCAGAGAAAGTTTTGTGTCGAATTTATAAAATTGCAATCAATAGCATTCATAGTATTCAGTTTAATTCACTATCGTGATCTATTTTCTAATTTTTTCATTATTTATGTTAATATTTTCAATATGAAACTGGTATGTGAGGCAATTCAATTGAATTTGTTAATAAATCAGTCGAGATCGGTAGATGTGAGAGTGTGAACACGTGTGCATAATACAAGTTGAACAGAGAGTCCCTTGTTCTCAACTTTTCAAAGCTCGGACACGATTTAGACAGTTTACACGATATTCCTCGAAGCAGTAGCAGTACAGTTCAAAGTACCGACAGTCGATCTTTCGATACAGTGTGTTTTAATAATAAAATTATTAATAAAAAACAAAATGTAAAATAAGTAACTTTTTCACTGTGTTTCGTAAAATTTGTTGTATTTGAAGTATTTTCATTATAAGTTATAAATCTCCATTACAATTAATATTTAATACATTAAGAAAAAAATATATTTTTATGATATGTGTAAACGTCGAAAAAAAAAGCTCTACAGAAAAATTAAGAGTAAGTTTAAAATATTATTGACGTAAAAAAATTTGATATTTTGGAACTGAAATATATTTGTGAAACATGTCTCGAAATCGGCAAATATAAATCCTATGTGACGAGTTTTATATGACTGTTAATTGCAAACATGATCAGTTCAATCGCGAGAATATATACGTTAATTTGCTTGTTGATATATTTATTGACTACGATTGCATTTTTCGATGGAATTAACCGACTTGATAATTTGAAAGAAACGTATTTTGAAGTGACTGAAGAGAATGAATGGACATCACTTCTTAGCTTCATTAACAAAAGAAGTGTGGATCGGCATAAATTAAATGCCAGCTTGGAGAACGTTGAGAATAAATTCAGAAAAAAAGCCGACACTTTATCGCGTATTTTAAAAACTCACATCGATCTTTTAAGGAACGAAACTGATGAGGTAATACTTTTTAATAGAACATTAAATTCATAAAGGTTTTATCTTTATAAATTGAAAATAATAAATAAATATTTTTATAAATGTAAAATTTTGTAAATGAGAATAATAATATATATTTAAAAATAATAAAAATTTGTATAAATAAATTTTGAATTTTTTTATTAATCAAGAATTTTATATATATAAGTAAAAATTTATTAAATTTTCATTATTATATTAAATATATACTTGATATTAATATTTAAATATTTTTCTTCATGATATTATTATTATATTTTCACACAATGAAGATTATTTTTTAATTTAAAATTTTCCCTAGGTGGAATTAGTGTTTTTGGTCGATTCTTCAGGATCAGTTGGATCAAAGAATTTCCACAGTGAATTAAATTTCGTAAAACATGTTTTGTCTGATTTTCCTGTGATTCCTTCTGCAACGAGAATCGCGATCGTGACGTTTGGTGGAAGAAGACACATCAGACGCAATGTCGATCAAATATCTCGCACTAATGAAAATGATAACAAATGTTATTTGTTGAATAAGCAATTAACTAACATTAGTTACACTGGTGGTGGAACATACACGCGTGGCGCGCTTTTAGAAGCTTATGTAAGCGTTTTAAATTTCATTTTTCCTTCAAAATTTAGATCCTATGCGAATTATAAAGAAATAATATAATATTATAATAATAAAAGTAAAAAAATAAATGAAATAAATATTTATTTATTAAAATATAATGATATTATTTATACTATTATTTTTATTTAAAAAGTAAAAGGAACATAATATAAAAAGAGCTAAATTCAAAATTGCATTAAAACAAAATTCAAACTACATCTTGTACACTTCTTCTACATCTTGAAATTTTAATTTGAACTTTTAAATGTTTGACAAAATTATATTAGAGGATTCTTGAGAAAGCTCGATCGAATGCAAAAAAAGCAGTGTTTCTTATAACCGATGGATTTAGCAACGGTGGTGATCCACGACCTGCGGCGAATCTTTTAAAAGATGCTGGTGCAACGATATTCACTTTTGGAATAAGAACAGGAAACATCGATGAATTGCATGACATAGCCAGTTCTCCTAAAGACACGTATAGTTATTTTCTCGATAGTTTCATGGAATTCGAGGCATTGATACGACGAGCTTTGCATCGTGGTAAGAAGAATCGTATGAAGAATTGTATAGACAATTTAAGTAGATATTTATCAAAATATATTTATATCAATCTTTATAATTGTCAATTCCTTTTAAAGGATTAATTTAGTATTTTTTTTTTCCATTACAATAAGGAAATGACTCGACTGTTTATATAAACGTATTTATTTATGCAAATGAAATAAATTTCGTACCATTCCGTTGTTACAGATTTAAAAACGGGCAAGTACGTACCAGTGACGTTTCCAGATAATTGTAATCTTTTATGCAGAAATATGAGTGATGTCGGGAACGAAAAGTGTTGCGATAATTTCGCGACTTGCGCCTGCGGTATTGTGACCGGTCATTACGCTTGCATTTGTCCCACAGGCTATTTTGGTTCCGGTTTCAAAGATTCTTGTCATCGTGAGTTTATTTAAAATATGGATTTTTTTATTGATTTCTAATCAATTTTCTATCTCTTTATATAAAACTCAAAAAAATTTTGTTTAGTAATGAATTTATTTTAATTAAATTATCCAAATTTATTTTTCTTATTATATATGATTATTATATTTTACATAAAATTAAGAATTATAAAATCTTATACATTTAATAAAAATGCAAACAATAATATTGCAACAATAAACAATATATTAAAAATTATATATATTATATATATTATATATATTAAAATTTTTATTATCATTATAAATTTTTTCTTTCATTATAAATTTTTTCTTTCATTATAAATCATTTATGAAATAAACAAATATTATTTATAAAATTTAATATTATTTTTAAAAAAATATTTCTATTAAAAAAATTAATAAAATATCAAAATAAATTTGTCTATTTAAGATGAATTGTTATTTTCTGAAGGAACTATTATTAAATTTTTATTCTATTATTTTTAATTCTATTCTAAGTAATGGAATTTACTATTCTAATTATGTAATACTTATAAAATTATCATAATTATCATAAATGCATAATTAATTTTTTTTTTATTTTTAGCTTGTCCAAATGGTACGTACGCATCTGGAGAAATCTCTGGTGATTTTACGTCAATGTGCATATCGTGTCCTGACGTAAATCACGTGACTATAAAAGTACCTGCAACTTCAGTTGAACATTGTGTTTGTGCTTCCGGATTCACCACAGAGGGAAATAAGTGCGAGGGTAATTATAAAATAAAATTCAATTATTAGGAAATTCATTATTTCATTTATTAATTTTATATTTTACCAAAAGTATCCTATACCCGCACCAAGAGCAGGCATATTTTTGGTTAATGGAGTTACATCGTTAAGAGGATCAGGATACTCTGGTATATAAGTTCCATATTTTTCTAATTGGAATTTTGGTTTCACTACAAGCCAACCATACTAAAAGAATATTTTATTTATTGATAGAAAATCAATCATAAATTAAAAATTATGATATTATATTTTAATAGCAATAAAAGATTAGATAGAAAACATTTTGTTGAATCTTTTATGAGAATGCATAATGAAATAAAAAAAAAATATATTTACAAAATCTGTGTAAGTAATTTTGTGAATAATAATTTATTTTCTAATTTTATTATTATTTTTTTTCTTTTCATCATAAAAAAAAGATAAGATTTTCTTGGTTACTTATTAATTTTATAATTTAATGAAAATTATATTGAAATATAATTGTTAATACCTCGCCATTTGTAGTAATTGGAACTGGTAGGCATGTTTTTCCTTCTTCTGAAACGAATGGTTCTGCGGCGATAATTATTTGCTTTTCTTCGCATAATTTCTCTATTTCTTTTTTTAGTTTTCTATAAAATCGATCATTAATAAGAATTTATTGAATTATTATTTAAAAACTTTATTAAACTATTTTCATGTACATACAATTTCTCATCCAATAACCATTCATATTTCTGATACCATTTCATTCGTAAATGTCTTACTTTTTCCACCTCTTCGGTTAAATTTTTATAATTAGCTACAAAATCATAAGGTTTATTACTTCGTGGATCCATTGTTTTCTTTGGATTGTTTTCTTCTTATATCTTATTAAACAAATTAAATTCTTCTTTAAAAATTATAAAATATTAAATTTAACTCGTTTACAGTGAAGTTGAAAATTATAAAATTATCGAATATTAAATTGTATTTTAAAAACAAAAACGAAGCAATTAAATTTTATAATATTAATATAATATAAATAAATTTCTTAATATTGTATTAATATTATAATATACATAATACATTATATGATATTAATTTTTATTTTTTTAATTAGCAACTTTAATATTTATAAATATTAAAATATACATTAAAAGATTAATTAAAATATGATAAAATTTAATTTTTTACATTGAGATAATTAGATCTCATAGAGTTATTTAACATATATAATTCTATGATATTAAAATTGTACCTGCTCTTAACTTATATTTTTGTTCTTTGATTTTATCTCTTATCGTTCTTATTTTTTAAATTTTTATTATTATTCAAATTATAATATTTCAAAAATTATTTTATATTTCAAAGATTGACAAATTATCTTTCTTATTCTTTCACAGTTGTAACATGCCCCAAATTGAGACTTCCTGAAAACGGATATTTGGTGAAAGCAAGCGCGTGCAGTAACGTTATCCACGCCGCTTGTGGTATAAGATGCAGAATCGGTTTCTATCTCACAGGCGACAGCATCCGCCTTTGCGGAAAGGACGGTAATTGGTCTGGAAACGAGCCAAAATGTTTGCGTGAGTCTTCAAAATTTTCTTTAAATAATTTGTAATTATTTGTCTATGATCACTTGAAAAAAAATAGATATACATTTACGTTTGAATAGCCAAGACTTGTCCGGCACTTCGAGTCCCTGCACATGGACGGATACGTTGTCAAAACGATGAAGATCACCACTTGATCAAAGAAGACACGACTACGTATCCAATCGACACACGTTGCCAATTTAAATGTGAAACTGGTTATCAACTTCGCGGAAGTAAAATCCGCAATTGCTTACCTCTGTCGCAATGGGATGGTCTTAAGGCTACGTGTAAAGGTATATTCTTCCTTATACAGAAATATAAAGAAAGTAAAATATACAGGTAACGTAAGTGTCCATGTTCTCAATTTTCCAGAGTTTAAAAGTCTTTAAAAATCTTAAACGTTTCAACGTCCTTTGAAATTCCTAAAATTTCTCAAGATTTAATAAGATTCGATTTCAAAATTCTTATAGCCTCAACAAACTAAGGTTTCATAATTCTAAAATTATAATTTATCAACATCCAACAATTACGCGAAGTTTAAAAGTTTTATGTCTCAAATGTATCCTTACTTATATACATTTATTACTCGTAGCAATAAAATGCGAACCTTTGAAGCAAGTTACAAATGGAGAAATTTTGCCCGAAAATTGTTCTGGTCCAGGAAAGGTTGCATTTGCAACCAATTGTACTATAACATGCAAGAAAGGTTTCGTGCTCGAGGGTCCACATTCTAGATATTGCGGTGGTCGTTCTGGAATCTGGACACAACGTCGAACTGTTAATCGTTGCGTAGGTAATACATTCATCCATTATCTTAATTTGATTAAATGATACTTGCATATTGATTTATGATTACAATTTTTTTCTTTTTTCAAGATAAAACACCACCTTCGATAACTTGTCCATCCGACATTATCGTTGAAAACGTCTCAGGGAAGAAATACGCTTATGTAAATTGGACAATGCCAAATGTGACCGACAATGTGGATAAAACACCCACATTATGGAGCAAACCATACATTAGTTTTCCCTGGAGAGTAAAAATTGGTATACGTACAGTAGTGTACATGGCGCAAGATTCATCTGGAAATAAAGCAAAATGTAAATTTAAAGTTAAAGTCCTTGGTATGTTGAGTATCTTATGAGATTTCTTATTCAATTATAATATGAATATTTTTGTAAATATAAATACGTAAAATAAATTTCTTCAGATACTGAACCACCAATGATCGAGAATTGCGTAGATCCTCCAATTTTATTTACGGACAATGGTATTGGAATAAATAACGTAAGTTGGGATGAGCCTGGTTTTCACGATAATTCCAAAACACCCGTACAAGTAGAACAAAATTATCTTCCTGGTGAAAATACATTTCCAATCGGTGTAACGCAAGTGGTGTACAATGCTATTGACAAGTATGAGAATAAGGCATCTTGCGTGCTAAACATTACTATAAAAGGTATTACATTATCAATTAATTAATATTTTATGTGTTTTGTAGATAATTTGATTTGAGTAATATTAAGTAATTGATGTTATATTTATATTTATATGTTATAATAATTTTTTGTTCTTTCAGACGCCTGCGAAGAAATTCCAAAAGTGTTAAATGGTCATTCAAAGTGTCATCCGTCATCGATAAACGAAACCAATGAATGCTCTATAATTTGCAATGAGGGATATGGATTCTCAACTGAGGAATCGAATCTCAGCGTTGTGGAAGATATATTATTATTAAAATGTAATAGAAGTACGTCAAATTGGTTTGAGGATAGTTATATTCCTGATTGTTCAGGTATGTGATTTCTATCCTTTATGATTATTAATTTATTTATTCGAAAATTAATATTTTATTTTTTCTTTTTATTTTTTGTTATTATTATATAGAATCGACAATTCCTAAAACTGTATCCCAAGAAGGAAGTATTATATTAGAAGGAAATGAAACTAATGTTTGCGATAATTTAACAACCCTTCGTGAAGTAAGTATTAATTTTTTATTATCATAATTATATGTTTGATTGTATAAAATACCGGTTTTTATCGTTATTTAAATTAGCTGAGTGAATATATTACTGCCGATTTAAGATCAATCTTACTCGACATTTGTGGAAACGATGTCGAATGCAATCTCATTACGTTTGATCCTGAATGCGAGGGAAATATTCCATCATCGGGTACAGTTTATTCCAATATCTTAAGAAAACGAAGAGGATTTGATTATGACGATATTAACAAAAAATCAGAACGAGATGCCAAAATGAAAAATAAAACGAAAATGAGAAAGAAAAAAGAGAAAATTGAGATTAAATTCAGATTTTTAGGCGAGTTGTCTTTTAAGTAATGTATTAATGAAAAGTATCGTTATAAAAGAAATTTTTAATAAAAATTTGAAGCATTTGATAATCTTTGAACATAATATATCGTTTAATGTAGGAAAAATAATCGACGAATATTTGGATAATCCACGAGAAGGTATACAAAAATTGAAAGAAAAACTCGAGTCGTTGTCAAAATCTGGAAAGTTAAACTTGTTAAACAATAAAACCAACGAAGAAATTGCGAAACTTGCGTTAAATTTACACGTGATTTTTAAAAACTTTGAAGAAGTTTGTGATCCAGGAAGCGTCTTAAGAAAACACTATTGCGGTGAACATGAATTAAAATTTTCTTCACGTTGGAAATTATTGAAATCGTTTTTATAAAAGTGTTCATTTAAATTTTAGTAAAATGTCCATTGGGTACATTTTTCTCTTCCTCGAATAAGCGATGCCAATCATGTTCTTTTGGAGAATATCAAAATATAACTGGATCTTTAAAATGTAAACGTTGTCCTAAACATACTTCGACGAAAAAGATTCATTCAAAATACTTACGAGATTGTATAAGTGAGTAATTAATTTACTTTCATTTTTTACAAATATTTTTTTCTCCTAATTCGTTACAAAAATTATTTTTCATTAAAAATCAAATCTATTATAATTTTTTTTATTGTATAAATTTATTCACACAAATATTCATATATATATATATTGTTTCCATTTAGATTTATGCAGGCCAGGATTTTATTCTCGAAAGAAACGTTATCTAAACATAGGATTGGCTCTTGAACCTTGCCTTATGTGTGAAATTGGATTTTATCAACCAGAATATGGACAAACACACTGTCTATCGTGTCCATCTGGTACCACTACCAAAAATCGTGGAACTAAAAGTATAAATGATTGTTTACCATTTTACAAAATCGAAACTAATATTTGCGACTCAGAATCGTGTTTAAATGATGGAAAATGTGTACAAGAAGAAGATAGCTTTAGTTGCGAATGTCCCGATTATTACGTTGGTAATTATTTAATTTTGTACATTACACAATTACGTAATTACAAGTTCATCTTATTAAAAAATAGTTTAAAATATTATAATTGTATTATAAAATTGTGGATATTAAATATTAAAATTATTATAGGTTCTAAGTGCGAAACATTTCGAAATCCGTGTGACTCTTGGCCTTGTTTGAACGAAGGTATATGTAACGTGGAAATTTACACGAACAGCACAATATCGTACACTTGTACGTGCAAAAATGGATATTCAGGTAGCAATTGCGAGGTAAAGCAATTATTATTTATTAAAAATAAAAATAGTTTGGATAGAAATAAATTAATAGAATCTAAAAAATAGGTATACATTGATGAATGTATTATTAATCCTTGCCAAAATAATGGCACATGTATAAGTACAGAAAATGATTACATGTGCGAATGTAAAAATGGTTTTGAAGGTATATTTAAAAATTATTTTATACGTGTTGGTAAATAATTAATTTTAAAAAAAACAGAATTTTTTACGAAGAAATGTATCATTTCTCAGGAGAATTTTGCGAAATTGTTGTCGATTATTGTAATCTTTTACCATGTATGGAAGGATCTACTTGTCGCAATGTTAACGAAACTTGGCAATGTTTTTGTAAACCTGGTTTTCTTGGTCGTTATTGTGATCTATTGCCTTGTGATTGGCTACCGTGCAATGAAAATTCATATTGTGTGAATATCGAGGAAGAAAATGCAACGAGAATGAGTTACAGGTGACTACAGATAATAGATTGTTTATTATTATTAAAAAAAATTAATAATTTCTTGATTGATTAGATGCGAATGTATTGATGGTTACACTGGAGAAAATTGTACTACAAAAATTGATCATTGTCAGAATCACTCGTGTTTAAACAATGGAAAATGTATTAATAATGTTTTAAATTACACATGCACGTGTCCTATTTTATTCACAGGACGTCATTGCGAGATCGGAAAGTATAGTCTTAATGAATATTCTTTTCTACTTTGTCTTTTTGTACAGATTTTAAAGATTTTATTTAACAATTTAAAAAACATTTTATGCTGATTAATAATTTTTTCTTAAATAATTTGCCGTTTCTTTATAGAATTGTCATCCGATTATGTGATACATTTCACCAAATCGGGAACTACAGATTATGCCAGTATGAAAGGTCCTACAAAAAATTTGTTGAAGGTAATAATCAACATTAGGCGATAATATAAATAGGATTAATAAATATAAATAAATAATTTATTTGTATTTTATTAGTTAACTGCGTGTTTGTGGCTGCAATCTAAGAATACGTTCAATTATGGCACTGTGTTATCATATGCTACATATTATTACGATAATGCATTCACTTTGACCGACTATAATGGGTAATAAAATATCTTTTTAATATGTATTAAAATATCATTAATTCATATAAAATAAAGTATTATTATCTTGACATTTTAGATTAGTAATATATCTAAATGGCGAGAAAATAATAACTGATATTAAAGTAAATGATGGCCATTGGCATTTCGTTTGTTTCACCTGGGAAGCAGAAAATGGTTCTTGGAATATATTTATCGATGGGATTTTAAGAGACAATGGCATTTATTTAGCGAAAGAAACTTCCATCGAAGGTAGGAAAAAATAATATTTTATTATTTAAAAATTGATATTTTTTTTATATTATTATATTCATTTTATTAATATTAGCAATATATCATATTAAAATGACAAAAAAGAAGTTTTTAAATTACATAGGTAATGGAACTTTTGTGATTGGACAAGAGCAAGATCGTATTGGTGGAGGATTTTCAGAGTCAGAATCTTTTTTGGGAAAATTGACGTTACTAGACATTTGGAGTACAGTTTTGGCAGCAAAAGATATCAAACATTTGCTTAATACCTGCGAGAAATATCATGGTGACATAATTGCGTGGGCACAAGTGCAACAACATATTCATGGTGATGTTACAGTAATTATACTTATATTTTTTTTAAAATACTTTATATTTTAATCAAAATTCTATGATAAATTTCATATTTTTTTCTAATATTCTTAGATATTAAACAGTCCATTTTGTCATGGCTGTCCTTTACCAGTTGTACCATTTAAAGGTAACATAAATGTTAGCGAAAACGCATCGAATATCACTTATTATTGCGATAGTGGTTACGTAGTTCGATATCATGGTAAAGAATACCGATCTTTGAAAGTAAAATGTCTCAAACAAGGACAATGGGAAGGATATTATACACCCATTTGTACTAGTAAGCTGATTAATATAATTTCTATAATTAATGATTTTTCTGTATCATATACAGTAATAATAATATATAACTTAAAAAAAAGTATATTTTTTCAAGTATATGATATTAATAAAAAAAAATATTTCTTCATTGGAATGGACTTATACATATATTTAATTAAAGAAAATTTTATGCCAAAATTATACTTAAAAATTAATATTTTAATTATTTTAATTAATAAATTTAAATATTTTAAAATCTTGATTGATTTATACTTAAGGAAGAAAATGCGGATTTCCGGGATACTTTCCACGAGGTCGCATACATGGTAGATCATATTTATTCGGAGATGAAATACATTATTCTTGTTTAATTGGTTATGAACTTCGAGGAAATCCTCGTAGAATCTGTAACGCTAATGGAAAATGGAGTGGTTTACCCCCAGTTTGCATAGGTAAAGATTGCGCTCTTATAATTACAAATGTTAATGTTTCAATAATTTTTATAACTAATATCTTGACAATTATCTGTAACAGGAAAAACATGTAAAAATTTACTGGCTCCAGAACATGGAGATATCGATTACGTGATAGAAGAATACGAAAGAGACGATCTTTCTATATTACAGGTATAATTTATTTGCAAATATTGTGAGAATAAATAATTTTTATTAAATATTATTCACACAAATAGGTAGGGCAACAAATTGAATTTAAATGCGATCTTGGATATCGCTTAATAGGTGAAAAATTTTTAACATGTTTGGAATCTGGAGTATGGGATCATGAAAGACCTACTTGTGTAACTTATGGATGTCCAATACCAAAAGAGTAAGAAATATACTTTTTTACAAATTATTATAATTTTATAATAAATAAACGATCTATATTATTTGTATAGGATTAAAAATGGTTATATAATTTTTGAAAATTCGATTAATCTACATGAAACTTTTATTACAAAACTTAACTTACAATCGATAAATGATACATTCAAGAAAAATTATGATTTTAATGATATCGTTAGTTATTCTTGCCATCCAGGATATAAATTTCAGGATAATCATAATTTGTTAAATGAATTTAAGCTTCAATGTTCAGAAAATGGTACTTGGATTGGATTTGTACCTGACTGTGTACCTTTAAATTGTCCTTGGCCCAAGAATATGAATAATGGTAAATTATTATTTAGAACACGAAATAACGAAACTATTGAACTTTTAGAAAAAAAAACAGTATCTACTAATACGAATACAGAAATATCATTAGAAGATAATATTACCAAAGAAAATCGAAATTTGATAAAACAATTTGTCATTGGTACTGAAATATTAATAAAATGTGATATAGGATATAAATTAATCGGCAATAGATCTAGAATTTGCACAGATAATGAAGAATGGTCATCTACGTTATCGTATTGTGAACTTCAAGAATGTCCATTTTTAAATCATCCACTTTTTCAAATCCTTAATAAAGAAATAGATCCAAATAATCATACTATTTGGAAAAATGGTAAAAATAAAAAATTATATAATGACACTCATGAAAACTTCGAAATCTTTGTGGAAGGCTATACTTATATGAAAAAAATTGTTCTTAGTTGTAATAACAATGGAAAAATTAAATTTAATAATAAAAATATTCATAATTCTATTTCTAATTTAACTTGGATTTGTAATGAACATGCTAAATGGCAAATCATTGATACAGAATTAAATGATACTATCATTAAAATTTTATTTAATAATGGAATAGATAATATTTGTCAGACATTTATGTGTGCTTTAGTTACAGTAAGTAATGCAATTATTTTCTGAATTTAGATAAGTTTGAATCATAAAATTAATATTAACTTATTATTAGATTCCAGAATATAGTTATATAGTTGAGACAAATTATACAAGAACTGTTAATAGTACTATTACATTCAAATGTCATCAAGGCTATATTCTTGAAGGCAATGAAAAATCAATTTGCTTTCCAAACAATACATGGTCTTCTACTCCTTTTTGTAAACGTAAATTATTCTAATTTTATTGCAAAATAATTATTTTTAAAAATTATTAAATATTAAATCAATAAACAAATATTTATTTTAGCTGTAATATGTGGTAAACCTCCAAAAATTGCAAATGCAGTGTTAATAGAAGATAACATTAAAATAAAAAATTTTACATTTGGTAATATAATTACGTATAAATGTTTACCTGGATATTTAATGTTTGGTCAATCTAATATGAAATGTCTTGCAAATGGAAAATGGTCTAGAATATATAGCAGATGTTCAAGTTAGTATTAGCATATAATATATATATATATATATATATATATATATATA